TTTTTTTTCCATATTTGGACGACTGATATGTTATCGCAGTGAAACGTATTCGAAGACCATACCACAAGTGGCCCCAAAATAAGGAAGATGGTTTTTCGTCGCGGTGGCTAGTGGCAGTGTGGCCTGCAGAGTGGCAAGACGAACAAATGTGGAGACGATTATACCGGCATGGAGTTTCGCAGCGATCTTGATTGAAATTATGGCACGCTGTATTGTTATAATTGTCAGCAGATTCACTCATGTATGAGCATTCCTGCTTCGTTGGCATTCCTGTTTGGTATGACCTTTTTTTATGACAGTCAGGACATGTTGGAATGAGCAGATGGAGTTTTTGTTGACAGAATTTGTAATCAATATGTACGTAATAGAAACCGCACCCCGAACTTGAGCTGTTGATCCCAATTTTTTATTTGATACATTGTAATATAAACCGCGGTTTATAATAGGATTTTAACGGTAGTGCTAGTTGAGATGATTTATTATTTGTTTTCTGACGCCAGTCTCATCAGTCTTGCGTGACTTGTGTACAGAAATTTTTAAATTAGGCCTTCTAAGCACAGGATATATTCAGCAAAAACTATCACATGCAACATTAGAGACTGAATATTGATTACTTCTAAAAAAATTCAAAACTCATTGGTTTATTTAAAGTAAAACTTACCAATGTTCCGACAGCATAAATCACAGTATTCCTCAGATCTTTCACACGTGCATTCTTCTAAATTCAAAGTCTCACACAAGGATCCTGTACACAACTGTACAATATATATTAGAAATTAAATTTGTTGAAAAAACTCAACTCGCAGATAAAGCATATGCTTAATAACAATATAAAATGATTTGTGATCAGTCACACTTTCGTCGCTGTACCAACTATAAGTTGATTATGCATAACTGTCATACATTGTTTGGGAAATTAGCATATTCAGATTAGCAGCTATATTTATCAACCAATCAACATCACTGTCATACATTGTTTGGGAAATTAGCATATTCAGATTAGCAGCTATATTTATCAACCAATCAACATCACTGTCATACATTGTTTGGGAAATTAGCATATTCAGATTAGCAGCTATATTTATCAACCAATCAACATCACTGTCATACATTGTTTGGGAAATTAGCATATTCAGATTAGCAGCTATATTTATCAACCAATCAACATCACTGTCATACATTGTTTGGGAAATTAGCATATTCAGATTAGCAGCTATATTTATCAACCAATCAACATCACTGTCATACATTGTTTGGGAAATTAGCATATTCAGATTAGCAGCTATATTTATCAGCCAATCAATATCACTGTCACCCACTGACTGTTACGGTGAATCTCAGAAGATAGTCTCGACAACTATACAGTACTATGTTTCAATTTCAAACAAGACAATTTAAGTGAATTGTTTGCATAAATTAGTTTCATTGTTATAACAAGAAAATTGACATGTACCCCACTTTTACAGACACGTCGGCCATTATCACATTTTATACCATCGTCTTTCTGGTCCGATGTAATTGAAGGACATAGAGCGCTAGTCCCAGTGAAAAAACAGTCAAGGTAAATATCAATAAATTTTGAAACATGAAACTCACTGATGAACTGTCATGAAAGTTTTAATTTTAATATCCACAATTCAAAAATGCTAACTTTATTTTCAAAAAGCTTATTTCTCTATGGTAGATGCCAATATTTGCGAGTAGGTACATAAAATTCCCAAAGTACCAAATCACTTTATACTTGAATAGACCTTTAACACAAATGGCCGCCAAAGAGGCTAAAAGACTTTTTGCCTCTCAAATAATGTTCCATTTTCTACCGTCCCTGCATCCACTTTACAACGGTTATACAGACAAGAAGAAGTAGAACGCTGTTTAAGTAACAAAATAAAAGTCTTGTGATGCTTTCGCTAAAGACGAGATCTCAGCGGCCATTTTCGTCTAAGATCTATAAATATGGTAATTGGATGATAACAGCAATGGTTATCTATTGTTAAACACCTTACCTATTAAAATTGATATTAGTTGGTGAATTAATTGACCTCTGACACCATTCACAGAATTGTTTGGGTCGTACAATTAAACGTTCGCATACCTGCTTACCTGTTATCTACCCGATGCAAATTACAAAAAAAAAATATAAAATTTTGTGATTTTTGTGATTTTATCTCAATTTCTCCTACAATTTATAAATAGAGGTTTCTTTTTTGGTTTAATTTTAAAATTTCTGGGGAAAAAACAAAAAATGTAAACATGAATTATTTTTTCTTTTGACCTAATGGATTTAGCAAAAATTTATAATCAGGAAACCACAAAGTACATTGCTAAATTTACAAGTCAAATTAAAAACCCCATTGTCAAAAAACAAACTAAAAACTTAGTTTTTAATGAGCTCACCATCTTTTTAGGAGATAATTTAAAGTTATTGGCGATAAGATTCCCTAATACATTTGCAATGAATTATTATAATTTGGCGATAAAAAGGTGAGCTTTGAAAAGGGTTAACAGATATATATATATATATGTCAGTTGTACCAAAACTTGACAAAACCACTACCAATAAAATAATATAACCAAGTGAATTACAACTATTTTCTAATATATTGTTTCTCATAAAAGGATATTTGCAGTACATTTCATTATGACAATCCGCCGGCCAGTCTACATACTTCACCTATTGCCATAGGGCGACATGTATCCGGATCACAGCAAGGTCCATCTGATAAGCTATGAAACAAACATTAAACGGTCACTTGGTAGCATAGTGTTTGTCGCATCAGCCTCATGATCGGTAGACCCAAGTTCAAATCCTACCTTAGGCTGAACATCAAAAGGGTCAACCCCTACCCTGGGTGAGTGTGCCACAGACTCAAAGGGAAGGCCAATTCCACTGACCGTGATTCATTCACTAACGAATGCGACTTTGGGGGAACCTTGGTTAAGGTTCGCAGGTGCTTGTGTTCGATTGAGCCTGGTTGATGCCAGGATAGCGCATTAAAATTGCCATTTGATTTGGCCACACAGCCCTGTCATGTAGTCCCAAACAGGAAAAATGGCATAGTGGCACTTGCACTTACAATAGAAAAAAATCAGGAGAAATAACAGTGACATTGAATGTCCGGAACTGTCGACTGGCACAAAAACGTTTTTAAAAAAAACAACAACATTAAACAAGAATTATTCACCAATTGGTTCTAATAACTGACAAAGTGAAATTTCAGTTTAAATGGTGATCATTTGCCATGGAGCATGCAATTACCCCCGGTAAATGTAAACTACTGTAAGATGACTAATATTCACTCCAGGTTTAAATTTTGCAAATTTACCATTTCAGGCATATTCAGTGGGTTTTAAATTCACGGTTTTATCATTTAGATAATGTGTTCTACGCTAAATTTTACATATTCACTGGGTTTTAATTCAGCGCATTTTCCAGTCAGAGAAATAAGCAAAATTAAAACCCAGTGAATAATTAATCCTTTTACAGTATGTATATGTATACATCTAGGTCACATGATGTTTCTTGATGATTTAGGACAGAGGAAAATTTAAACAAAAAATGCATGGCCATGAGTCGGCCATTTGTGATACTGAATATAATAAATTTATGTGTATATATATATCTAGTTATCTTAATAATGATTTTTGTACCAATTTGGACACAAAGATGCACAAATAGTCCCAATTGATAGAATTTGTCCAAACAGAGTAAAACTTTAATAATGATATATCAGACCTGCACTCCACTCCAGGTATGTACTTAGACAGTTTACAAGCATTACTGTCACTAACGGCCGCTTTCCGTGGCTCACAGCATTTGTCCTCGCATTCATACTCGTATCCACAATCGCACTCCTCTGTACCCTCTACAATACCATTTCCACAGATTGCAAAGTCAGGACCTAAACAGGAATTTTGAGGAAAATAACAATTAATGAGTTACAGTGATTTACTGTAAAACTGAGATATTTCTTGTTTTACATGCAGTCGAATGACGATGTCACACTGATAAGTGACCTTTCTAAGACATCTTGATGTAGTTGGAAAGTGTTTGCACTCAATCCTTATATTTTCAATATTTCTGGAAATGAACCAGAATTCTGGAGCCAACAGACAAAATTATAGTCAATTTCAAAATTTTTGCTATTTTTGTTCCAATCTTCGGAATGAAAGTGCAGACTATAAACAGAACTATTTTGTTAAAGCAGAATGCCAAATAGAGATCCATAATATAAAAATTATGATTGTCCGGAACAGAACTAGTTTTTTACTACAGTTAGTTGGTAAAAATAAATGTAGAACTACATTCATTGATGATGGTAAAACAGATATGCAGTGACTTGATGCGCAACCAAAGGTTGAATCTTCTACTTTCAGCATTTGGTTCATTCCTAGAAAGAATCAACATGATCATGCTACATTTGTGGGTTACACAAACAGAGCTACACAATTTTTTTTAAACAACGATAACAACAAATATCCTTCCTTTTCAAAGGCTATTAGTAATCAAGGCTTGTACTACAATATCCACACCTTGTACACTATGTTTTAATCCCACCATCCTAGGGAGTCAATTTATGCAAATTTTACCTAAGATGTTCTATAATATGCAACTAGGGTAACTTGATGCAACTTGTTCTACACTC